ACCCACTCTGCCTTAGGGTACGTCTAGACTACATGCCTCTGTCGCCAGAGGCATGTAGATTAAGCTACCAGGCATAGGAAAATGAAGCGGCGATTTAAATAATCGCCGCTTCATTTAAATTTACATGGCTGCCACACTGAGCCGATCAGCTGTTTGTCGGCTCAGCGCGGTAGTCTGGATGCGCGGGTGTCGACATCAAAGGCATTTGTTGACCACCCAGGTATGCATCATCCCAGGATGCCTCATCTGGCGACAGAGGCATGTAGTCTAGACGTACCCAAAGATGTGCAGTGCCTGTCTGAGCACAGCAGTGTATTTGGGGCAAAAGACAGCAGCAGAATCACAAAGCAGATTTGGTGCAAATGGCTCTCTTTGCCGGCATGTTTTGACCCAGGGCACAGTACACAAGCATTCAGGCAACAAGGGCCAAGAGGCGTGAAATTAAAAGCAATGATTGCCAGAAAAGAACTATAGGCTGAACCTCTCTAGTCTGGCAGCCTTGGAGTCTGATCGGTGCCAAACCAGAGGATTTGCCAGATCACAGGAAGACAATATCATCTAGCAGCATTACCAACAGCAGCTTTGACTGCTTACTGGGCTCTTATAAGACATTTAGGAGTCAATTAGAGCTAAATAACAGCACAGAACACTGAGAGCCAGGAGAGGTGGCTATATACAAACTTGATAGGACCGTGGGACAAGTAGACATCCAGCTAACTAAAATCATGCCGGACCACAGATGTTGCTGGATCAGAGAGTGCTGGACTAGAGAGGTTCAACCTGTATCATTGGTTAGGGAATTGGAGACAGAAGATGAGAGTCTATTGGCTGGAGAAGAGACCTGGGCACCAAGAATCCTTACACTCGCAGCTGGGTCTGGCACTGAACTCCATCTATGGCCTCGAATAAATCTCTGTTTTCCCATCTGTAAAATGGGGATAATAAAACTCCTCCTGCGACCCTCACATTCGGTGTATGATTTCATTAGTCCAAGGGCCTGATACTGTATGCTGAGGTCAGCAGCAGGCCTGGGAGGGGGGGGGTCCCAGGGAACAATGGACTGGTCTCAAAGGGTGAAGGCTATGGCCCAGCTCCACAAAGGTATTTAGGCTCCAAGAAAAATAGGAGCCTAAATAACTTGTAGACTTTGGCCCGAATTCACTCCTTGTGGCTCCTTATAAGGATACCCATAACTGGCCCACTTTAAAATTCATTCTAAGCAGCTGGGATAGGAACAGTCTCCTAATATCCAGCACAAACCGACAGAACGGGGCTTTTGTCTTGATCACTTGATAACATAACGAAAAAAGGGGATTTCATTGGTGGGCAGGATGCCTGGACCTTGGAAATACTAGGTGTGTTTAGCTCCCACTGACTTCACAGAGTGATTCATGGGTGCTCAGCACCTAGCAGGATCCAGCCAGTAATAACTAGGTATGGATACTGTTAAATATGCCGTCGCCAGCAAAGAGGGAAGGAATCTTTTTCTATTCAAGCTCAACATGGAAATTCCAACCCCAAACAAACCTCCCCAATCGGAAATCTCCAGACACTACTTAGAGATAAGATCCATTGTCTCAGAGGATTGTAGCAGCCTGGGTTTCCCCCACCTTGCATGTCCTTTAGAATAAACAACCCCTAGGAATCAGATCAATGTAGATATAATTTGGAATTAGTCCCCACAATGGAGAGTGGCAATAATTTAATACCAGTGAACACAGGGGTAGTGGATAACGTGGTTGGAAGAGGGGAGCAAGGGATGGACAGCTCCCTCTGATTCAGTGCAAGGTAAACTTGTCCCTAAACCAAAACCAAAACTCAAAACGACTGCACAGAGCTGCTGAGCTACTGGTAAAACTCTGAGGAAGGGCCAAGGAAGGGTCAGGGCTGTTTTGGTCCAGACTCATTATAGGTCCGGGGGCCAGGTGCAAATCTGGTTCTTTATTCAGAGCCAAACTTTACTCTAGTGGTTGGATCAGGGGCGGGGGGGGAGGGGAGGGGTTTGGTTTGGCTCATTACTGCAGCGTGGGTTACAGAAAAAGTCCAGATCAGGCTCTGGACCAGGGATGCTAAAATGTGTTTATTTAGGGAAATGGGTAACTGCTGAAAATTTCAGTGGTAACACACTCCCCAAGAGCCATGCAGGGAGCCAGCTTTTAAGCCAGTTTTCTTCACATACCAGCTCCTGCGGAGCCACCTCTCCCCTGCCACTGCCTCTGATACAGAGGCAGCAGGGGCTGGGGGGCTGCATGTAACCGTGAAGATTAACAGATGAGTCCAGGATTTTAACTGTGTACACATTTACACTTTCACATCCCTAGTTTGGATTTGCCCAAAGACAAGGGTTTTTTGGATCTAGGGTAGTGATTTGAACCCAACTCTAGTAAAAATTAATATCCAGCAAGAATCCTCTGTAGTCACCCATCCATCGGCCCTTTTATGCGCACACACACTTTATTCAACGAGACACTAACCAACGCAGCAATCAACTCCCCCAGTCTCTTTCAAAAACCATACTGCTCCAATTAGTGCAGATACCAGCCCTCTTCCATTCCATCCACTGCCAAAGAAACAGAACAAACCATGGCACTTGCCAAGATCAAACAAAACTGAAAACATCTGACAAGTCTTATGAATCCTTGGCTCTTCCCCGTCAGGTGACTCAGAGAGACTGTCAGCTCCTCACTCTATCAAGAAACAACTCAATCCGTAGCACTGACCTTTTAAGTTACAGACAACTATCTGCTTGGCTGCTGCTAACTTTTCAACCTGGGACTGGGAAATTTACCAGCATCCATAACTCGCCATTAGAACATCCATAAATCATCATAAATAAACCACCATAAATCTCCACTTCTCCCCCAACCTCTTTTCAGTGTGACGATAATCTACCCCCTCACCCACCACTTCTCAGTTATGACCATCTCTATAGGGCTAGATTCACTCCGATTTCCACCAGCTACAGAGCCAGCCCAACGTGAGGAGCTGTTCAACCACAGACAGCATGGGGGAAATGAATTGCCCACTACACAGCTAGACACAGGATGTGGGATTTGCAGCCGGCCCATTGTTTCAGACAAAGATAGTTATCACAGGGCAAGATTGTGTTGCCCTTCCACGGGGCTATTACTGGCCCCAGTCAAAGGATCACAGCCTCTGCATACAGGTACCATAGAAAGGCAGTCTCTGCCCCCACAGGGCTTACAATCTAAGCATATGATGGGATAAATCAGCAATGAAAGCCAAACAAATGAGGGATTTAGCATGAGGGAAGAAGATACAAACTGAAGCATTACATCAGTAGCAGTTGCTCCCACACTGATGAGTAAAGAACTCATAAATCACTAAGGCATGGTCAGGCTCTCACAATTCTAGTAGCACATTGCACAAATAAAATCCCAGAGCCTTTGCAAGAAAACCGAAAGAAAAGTTCAAAAAGACACATGACTAGGTGCAAATACAATGGAGCACGAGAACAGTTGTTACCAATTTAGTAGATAGCTTATGCTCTGCTGAACATGGCATTCAACGTTCGTAAACAAACCAAGCAAAAGAACAACCCACCCCACCCCCCGCTGTCCTTCCCTCATCAACATCAACAACAACAAAAAGGAAGAGATTTTACTAGGTAAAAAGCAACTGGAGTTAGATCATGGCACCAGCCACAATGATGGTTTTCTTTTGAAAGGAGTGAAAGAAGAAACAAAACTCATCTATGCAACTTTAGGGGGACTTCAGAACAAGTCAATTGCAAATCTCACTCACAAAATTCTGCCTGAATACTATTGAACTGTTTCAAAGCACTGTTCAGAAGACACTACTGTTGAGATTTCTCAACCCCCCGGCTCCCATCAGAAAGCACTTCAAGCTAGATTGAGGGTCTTCTACAAATTCTCCTGTGCCAGGTAAAAAATACTCTCTCAATTCAATGCAATTTTAAAAAATCCTCTAGCACACCAGACATTCTAATCTACTCGATATTTAATCAGCGCAACAAGTGGATATTCCACAGAACATTCCACTGACAGATTTCAGTAAGGAAGGTAACCAACGGACCAGAACATAGGGGATGTGGTCTTCAGCTAGAAATCAATTTCATTGAACACCAATTTATAATCTACACAAGGCCCGGATTTTATTTGCACTAAAGCCAAAGACAAAATCCTCATTAATTTATTATGGGAACAGGATGCTGCCCTAATATGCAATCAATGTGTCTTGTTTTGGTTTAGTTTCCCCGATTTTAATACTTTTTTTTTTAAGTCTGGTTTATTTCTGAAGCCCTTAGCAACGTCACAAATGATGGACAAGCCTGAATAACATTAGTGACAGAAAGCATCTCTGCTGTAGGGAAAAAATAGCAGCATTTATTCCTGTTAAGGAGATTTGCACATGTAGGAATTTCAAGATATATTGACAGTGCAGGAATTTCCAGACTTATATTGAAAATGACTGAAGCATTCTTGGGCTACAGTACAATGGGCAGAATATCAGGAATAATAATGAAAGGCAACTGTTGTTCAAAATTCACAGCAAAAGAAACAAAAACAAAAAACCAACTACCACAGCTATAGCCAAAACAGTTTATAGAGACCTTATGTAGCATCCCAAAGTCTAGAGACAAAACAGCAGGACTGAATTTGAAAGCAAAAAAACAATCATCCACTGCAATGGGTCCAACACCGGTGTCTTTTACCCAATAATACTGAGCCTGAATTCAGACACTAACAGCAATGGGAGTTTGCCCTGTGTAAAAGCCTGGATGAATTAACGTTTCTGTCACTGTTCATTAAGGCTTGGATTCTAATCTCATTTCTTTGGAGTAACTTCACTGAAGTCAATGGAGCTACTCCAAATTTACAGCAGTGTGAATGGAAGGAGAAATTCGACATTCCAGCACCAAATCTGAAGTCCACTGAAGACAAAAAAGATCCATTGTCTTCACTGGGTTTTGGATCAGGTCCTAAACTAAAGCATCTTAAAAAACTTGGGGCACTTACCACTTGAGGCTTGTTCTTGGTGCTGCTAGGGCTGTGTTCCTCCTGCTGCTTTGAACATCTCAGTAGCTTGGGCTCCGAAGTAGTTGGTGTCGCAGGGGAAGACCTGGGCATATCCACAGTACCACCAGAAGATGAGTCCACGGAGTTAAGAGTCAACATGTATTGCTTGGTGACATCCTCCAAGGATGGAGCTTGGCCTACAGGGTAGGATTTGATGGGGAGAGGTGAAGATTCTGGCACAGTTACATGGATGTTTTGATTGAGCTCTGGGGCTGAGATGGGGATGAAGGCTGCAGGCTCGCTGGTATGCCGGACATGCTTGGATGCAGGCCTTAACCGACTTAAAGTAGCAGCAGGAGTCGTGGCAAAGGAGGCAGCCTCATGATTCTCCTGGTGAGTCACCCGGTTGGTGCGTTTCTTGGAACTGCGCCTGATGATCCGGCGGGACAGGACTTCTGCCAGCTTGGGGTCAAAGCTATAGTTTGGTGCGGACTCTCCTGCATTGTTGCCTTCTGGCTGTGCAGGTAGGACATGCTGAGATGGAGAGCCCAGCTTCCCAACCTCCTGGCCTGATTCCTCCAGCTCCCCCACCTCGTCCCTTTGCTCGGAGAGGATGGGTTCGCTGCTGGAAGGTGGGATGGTCTGGTCCATCTCACTGATGGGCTCTCCAGGGCCCTCAAAGCCGGCGCTGGCCAACTCGCTGCGACGGCTGGGGTCACTAAACGATTTCTTCTTGATTGTCTTTCCATTTCCCCTCTCATCAATCACCTTGTCCATGGCACCAGGCTGGCTAACGATGTTCTGGATCACGGTGTTGTAATCCTTGATGCCATCGCTACAGACGGACAGGTCGCTGGCAGCACTCCCGGTGCACTCAGACAGAGCCATGGCCAACGGCTCCGGGGCGCCAGCCTTGGAATTCAGAGACCCTAAGAGATTACTGTCCACCAAGAAGCTCTCAGTCTCTTCCGTGATGGAGCACCTCCTCTGGGGCATGGGGTCACTCAGGGATCTGTAGGCTTCGCCACTGGATTCCCCATTGCTGGAATCAGACCCATTGTTGCCAACGGAGGGAAACTTCCTTCGGCGCCGTGGAGTGGTTGGAGTCAGAGGTGCCTCTAGAGTCCCTGGGGCCATGGCTTTACCAGGAAGGGTATCATTGACAACAGAGCCCTCATGATTCATTCTAGCTGCGAGCCCAGACAGGGGAAGCTCTTTGCTGTTCACTCGATCGGTGTCCCTCTCCCCTTGGCCGGCGTTGGTTGGTGTCCACGCCGTGACAGCCTGACAGAGATCCCTGTAGGCTGCGCTGGTGAGTCCCATGTCGGGCTCTGTCACGATGCCTTCATCCGTCATGCTAGACTCATGACCCGAGAGCTCCTCCATGGACTTCCCACCAGAGAGGTTTTCTTCGGACTCTACTTTCCTAAGACACTGCTCTTGCTCTCTGCTCCCCAGAAGGGCCGGGTTGGCTTCCTTCTGGCTGTCTGTAAACTCCGCCACACCCTTTGCACTTGCGCTGTCCTTCTCCAATGCAAAGCCGTAGTCGTGCTGGGAGCCGATCCGACTTATCTTCTCAAAGACTTGCCGTGCTTCCTGAATATACTGATCCTGGATGATGACCGGGAGCCCATCAACATCCGCTGTCTGGCCAGTGTCCCCGTCGGACACCACGCTGTCATGGTCGCTGTTACTGGCCAGGAGAAGCTCTGAAGAGCTCTGCTTCATGGAGCTCTGGAGGAAGAGCCTGCGTGGCGCTGGTTTGTCAGAATAGGTGAATGACTTGGCCCGGCGTAAGGTCGCAGTGAGGTCTTTGAGAGTTGGGCGGTTGCCTAGCGCCCAACGGTTGGGGATTTGTGCCTCACTTCGGCCTCTGCCTCCCACTTGGGGTTCAACTGGGCTCCGGTAACTCTCACTCCTGCCACTGCTAACAGCCCCTTCTTCTTGGTCACTGACCCCGCCACCTTTCTTCCTCACCTTCAGCTCGGAGAGATCGGATTTCAGGAAGCTGAGGAGAGACAGGGTCTCAGTGGCTATGTCAGGGTTGGACATGGATTTCCTGTGCTTGGCTCGCTCGACCTCGACTCCACAGTGGAGCAGAGTCTCACTGGACAGGTCCTGTTTCACTTTGCCAATGCCCGTGGGCAGCTTTGGACGCACCCGGACCTGCTGCTGCAATCTGGCCAGGTTGTCGCTGTGGCCAAAGCTGGGGGATCTGTACATGCCAAGGCCACCCTGGATGCTCCGGCTTTGGCTGGGCCAGTAGGGCCCAAAGTGGTCCTCTTCCTTCAGGGTCTCGGTGCTCGAGTACCGGCTGCTGCTTCTCGACCCACAAGGGCTCTGTCTGAAAGGCGGGATGCTCACTTTGGAAACCCGGGAGACCAGGGGTACGGCCGGGGCTGTGCCCAGCGGGAAGTAATTGGCGGCTGCGCCTTCTGAGAGGCCCCTCATGTACTGCCGGTGAATGTCCCAAAAGCTCAGGTCTTTCTTCTTCTTCCGGACCGAGCGTTTCCTGGGTGTCACCAGCTGGCTCCCCTCCTCCTCGCTCCCCGAGGACCTCTCCAGGGACCCGGGCCTGCCCCCGGAGGGGCCATGTTTGCTGCTGGCGCTGCCAAGGAACGGGAAGCTGTGAGCGGGCAGCAATTCCTGGCGGCTGGAGCTCTCTTGTCCCAAAAGCTCAGGTCTTTCTTCTTCTTCCGGACCGAGCGTTTCCTGGGTGTCACCAGCTGGCTCCCCTCCTCCTCGCTCCCCGAGGACCTCTCCAGGGACCCGGGCCTGCCCCCGGAGGGGCCATGTTTGCTGCTGGCGCTGCCAAGGAACGGGAAGCTGTGAGCGGGCAGCAATTCCTGGCGGCTGGAGCTCTCTTCTTGGAGGAGGCAGCAGGCAGAGGAGGAGGAGGAGGCGGGCGGGGGGGCAGCCTGTGGTTTGGAAGAACTATGCCAGGAATGCAAAGTATCCCAAGGCGGCGGCGGCCGCTGCCCGCCTGGCCCCCGCCC